TCGAACGGTTAACACTGAATGCTTACTTTTGACCGCTATTTGTTCTTAACATTCCATACTTTAAGAAGAAACCATGAAGATGACTTTTGTCTGGGTTGTTCCGCTGCGTAGTTTCTTAGAAGTGTTCGGACGTTTCAGAGGCATTTTCCTCTTCCATCATCAGGATGCCCTGGCGATAGACAGCGCAGACACCTCTGGAACGTCTGGTAACTTCTACCAGACTACACTTTGCAACAACCCAGAAGACAGCCATATTCAGACTCACCGCCGTGAAAACCTCAAATCTCACAAGATAACACTGTAAAGGCTGAGAATGACATTTTGTAATACTTAATTCTTTTTAGGGAATTTAAATTTTTTGCTGTGCTAAATGATCTCATGGACGCCATTAAACCAGTGTGGTGCCAAGAGATTTCAGGTGTGCCGTTGCAAAGTGTTATAAGAAATTGCATATTCGCACTTTGTACTCATAAGAAGGCAAAATCTTATGTTTCGTTATAGATAATTTTATCAAAAATTTGTAGTGTTTTGTTTTGATATACTTACAGGGCAAGCATTAATGTATGTATAAAATGTTAAGTTCCGTACCTCTTCTATAAGACGACATTTTGCGGTGTGCTGTCATGTCTTAACGGTTTTCCCCGGTTAAGGAAAGGTTATGGAATAAAGCGTTAGACTCCTAAACATAATTTAAAGTGACTGTCGCAAAACGTACTTGGGCCTATCAAATTAACATCTATACACACTCGATGCAATAGAATCGTTATTGAGAAGCTAATTGCCGTTTATATAGTGAAAGAACTTCGTATTTTCTGGAACCTGAAGATTCATTATGGTGTGCACATGAGCTCGCCACTGAAACCTATTCTGAGCCAGATGAACCCAGTTTACACCATTCTTTAGTATCTATTTGACGCCGTCACAGTGGCCGCCGTCCAAGGAGTCCTACCAAGTGTCTAATAGATCAAGAAACAACGAACAAGTTGGGACCTGCAGATCCTCAAGGCACTGAAGAACGGGTCACCTAAGTATTCTAAGTATTTGAAGAGTTCCCCCTCCCCCTTATACGCCTGTGTCTTCTGAATGACCTCTGCTCTTTATTTTGTATGCATTATTTAACTTTCCCAATTTCGTAATTTGCGTTTAGTAAAAGTGTTGTTATTGTTAAATATTATTTACAAATCTTAAAAAGGTAAGATTTCAACCGAGTAGGTAGTTTACGTAATTATGCTTTGATTTTACGTAACTTCACTGTACTTCATCCCTGGAACAAGTATAAACATCTATTACAGTAGTGATAGTCGTAATTATGTAAGGAATAATAAAAGTTAAAACGGGCTCCGACTTTATTTGGTCTCGATTTATTTTGATTTGTTCCACCCTTTACCCTATTTACGTCTATGTATTTTACTCAACAGACATAGTTTCCCGCTCTTGCATTAAGTTTGATTTCATAATGTTGTATCAGGTACCCTATTTCATATCATAAAATGCAGTCTTTTGTTTCTTTGTAACTTTCTGTAATTTATTAGCTTAAAATGTGCCACGGTCACCTTTCTCATCGTGTATTATGTATTCCAAAAACTTGAAGTAGCCTATTTTAAAATATTCCACAACCTCATTTCTGTGCTCCTACTAACAGACACATTATGCATAGGGTAAGGCGAGGCTAGTTTGGGTTTTTAAAATTTTAGAAATAAACTGAATATATTTTATTATTGAAAATTAATGTTGTTACAGGTACAGTCTCTCAGCTGTTGCCTACTAAAGATAAAATAGAGACGTTTTAAATATTAAACTGTTATATGCTAAATTCTGGGGTGTGATGCTGACCACTCACCCCCATCTAGTGCCGAGGTCAAGAATGAGTAGGAGCTATACCTCCACTCCCCCCAAGCGCCTACATGGCGTATAGTGGGACAGCTTTACTTTACTTTACTTTTATATGCTAAATTATTAATTTTCTAAAGCTCTGCAAATTGAAACTTTCAGGAAAATGTCAGAGTTATTTGTATTAGTGGGAGGGATATAAAGCCGAGTTGCATTTTCCATAAGTAACCTGCTACTTTTGACACTGCATCCAGTCGCCTTTCAAAGTCCACATCGGGGACCTGTGCAATTCCAGTGAACCCGCACAAGGCGTCTTCATCTGACTCGGTCAGTATCATAAGTCTCACACGCTGGTCGATTCTCATTTCGTTTTTGTGGCATTTCCGTTGTGGCATTTCCGTTGCATGATCTTGTTTATTTTCTTTATGTGATTGCTTGCCTTTTTCATATGTTAAAATTACGTTAAATTCGTAACAAAATGTTTATGCTCCTGAAATTTTAGTTTTGTGGTTTACCAGGACAAAAGTTCATCTGCGATCTTTTTTGTCCAAATTCGGCAGTTGGTCTTTCCCGCATGACGGGGGAGGGTTTCGGTAGTTCAGGGCCCGTACACATTTTTACTATTGCCATCAGCAAAGTGGAGTGAGATATTTCCCTGGAGCACGCTGATTTGGGTCTTTCCTCCACTTCAGAAATTGTACACATTTTTGTTTTTGTAGACTCAAACCACATTTATTCCAAACAATATGCTAGTACAACTCTGCAGAGAAGCTACAAACGGGTGGTTCAAATAGCCCCTAAAAGTTTCATAAAGTCTTCTACAGCAGTAGGGCTAAAACATCGTGAGTTACACTATTTAAAATGGTTGCAATAATCACAAGTTGTATTTCTGAGACTACGATGTATTGTATTGTAATTTCTGTCTTCCTGATCTCCTTTGTTTCTATGATTAACCTCAAGCTAGAGGCACCAGTTCTTATAATACAATAAAGTTTGCAAGAATTACACCTCCTGCAGTTTCCTTTAATTGTCGGATCGGAACCCTAGTACTGACAGTAAGGCAGAGAGTGGGAAAAAGCTCGCAGAATATCGCCATGATTGAAATAGCCCCGATGCTAAATTATTAATTTTCTAACGCTCTGCAAATTGAAACTTTCAGGAAAATGTCAGAGTTATTTGTATTAGTGGGAGGGATATAAAGCCGAGTTGCATTTTCCATAAGTAACCTGCTACTTTTGACACTGCATCCAGTCGCCTTTCAAAGTCCACATCGGGGACCTGTGCAATTCCAGTGAACCCGCACAAGGCGTCTTCATCTGACTCGGTCAGTATCATAAGTCTCACACGCTGGTCGATTCTCATTTCGTTTTTGTGGCATTTCCGTTGTGGCATTTCCGTTGCATGATCTTGTTTATTTTCTTTATGTGATTGCTTGCCTTTTTCATATGTTAAAATTACGTTAAATTCGTAACAAAATGTTTATGCTCCTGAAATTTTAGTTTTGTGGTTTACCAGGACAAAAGTTCATCTGCGATCTTTTTTGTCCAAATTCGGCAGTTGGTCTTTCCCGCATGACGGGGGAGGGTTTCGGTAGTTCAGGGCCCGTACACATTTTTACTATTGCCATCAGCAAAGTGGAGTGAGATATTTCCCTGGAGCACGCTGATTTGGGTCTTTCCTCCACTTCAGAAATTGTACACATTTTTGTTTTTGTAGACTCAAACCACATTTATTCCAAACAATATGCTAGTACAACTCTGCAGAGAAGCTACAAACGGGTGGTTCAAATAGCCCCTAAAAGTTTCATAAAGTCTTCTACAGCAGTAGGGCTAAAACATCGTGAGTTACACTATTTAAAATGGTTGCAATAATCACAAGTTGTATTTCTGAGACTACGATGTATTGTATTGTAATTTCTGTCTTCCTGATCTCCTTTGTTTCTATGATTAACCTCAAGCTAGAGGCACCAGTTCTTATAATACAATAAAGTTTGCAAGAATTACACCTCCTGCAGTTTCCTTTAATTGTCGGATCGGAACCCTAGTACTGACAGTAAGGCAGAGAGTGGGAAAAAGCTCGCAGAATATCGCCATGATTGAAATAGCCCCGCTTTACCCTAATAATCTTACGAACTATCATTCCACAGTATTTGAGTTACGCAGTTAAATGACGCAATAAACCAACAGTCTTCACATCCGGTTCATAAATCGTCCGTTATCTTTATTGGTACAGTCGCCACAATCCTTGCAGTAAAAGCGAGAGAAATTAAACTATCTGGACAGCAACATTGCAGAATCAATAATACAGGTTGTCCCAAAATATGCATACACATATTAAATGAATGGAGTAGATATTTTAATGAACTAAACCATTACATACGTCAACATTGGCTGTTAGTGAATTAGTGAATCTGTGCGTAGGTATTAAAATGACCACCGTTAGCTTCGTTGACACTTCTGAGCAATGACTGACAAGCGGCCAACATAGTTGCTGCTATGTATACAACTTTATGGATCACTCTGTGTTACACTTCCATAGGAAGAATTATTGCAGGAAGGCAATTGTATTGTACAATACAGAGTGTTGAACGAATGCCTGAAGAAAGACTTCTTAAAGCTGCGATCAGGTACAAACCTAGCGGAAAAAGAGATCGAGGTCGACCACGAAGAAGATGGGAAGATCAATTTGAAGCCGGAACAGGCTTTAGTACCTAATCCCTGATGATTATTATGATGATGAATACAGAGTGTTGTGGTCGAGTGGTTGGCACTCCTGCTTCGTATCCTACAGATTCTGGATGTAAATCTCGGCTCGGATGCCGGCTATCGTGACGTGAAGATTTTCGTAGTTTTTTCTTCAGTCTCTCAAGACAGTCACAAATTTCGCATTAAGTTATGCCACCAATACTTTCTTCTGAATCCTTTCCAGTTTTTTATTCACTAATCATCCTGTCATTCGACGCTATATAATATTAGTAATTGAAAGAAAGGGACATTAAACAAACCATGAATAAATAAATGCCATTGTTGGTACACTTCAGTGCATTCTGGTTCCGAGTTTGGAATTGGCTTTCAAGGTTCGCTTTTACAAGGGTTGTTATGTATTGCGCTGGTCGCTACTGAAGCTCATTTCCCGCCCATCAGCGCTGTGATGGATTGCCTGGTTAATGGTCCCCAGAGAAAACATTTCAATACAACGTCTTTCCTCTGCGTCTCTAGAAGAGACTTCTGTGGAGTGCGTAGATATTGCAGCACTCTGTTCAATCATCTGTTTAGAGTGGCTGTTAGCTGAACACTGTCTCATTCGTTATACAGTCAGTCAGTTCTTTCAGGATGTTGGTGACAGTGGTTTACGAACATGAATGCTTTACTCTGCTAGTCTCCAAGTGGCTGCGATCTGAGTTTAATCAGGGCAACACGTTTTGATAAATTTGAACTGAATGGAGAGAAAACAGAAGCAGCCAAGTTTGAAAGGGGCTTGCAGACTCCATTTACATGTACGCAGTAGGTAAGTTATTTAGTCAGTATTGTAATGACTCATCGTATCATGCATTAGACTCACGTAGAGAGTAATGACATAATTGTACCATTAGATTTTGTTTTGATTCTTGGAATTTAATTTGCAGGCAACCATAGAACAATTACGCAAGTAATAATATTAATTTTATTCCTCTCATTTTCTTTGCTGACACTTGTTGGTCACAAACATTATTTGTACCTAACTGTCACAAGAGCCTAGTCTGAAAATTTGTCTATTCAAAATTACACACGTGTATACAATACAAAAAATTGATATTTTAAATGCTGTAATGCCGGAATTCTAATTGTAAACAGATCGACTACTCGTAAGAAAGTAAGGTGTCTCAAAATGGAGGAAGAATATTTAACAGTCAACTGTAATTAATAAGTGGGGTCGTTAATGTTTATTGAAATAAGCTGAATTCCATTGTGCGTCTTACTTTTTATGTTTATCGAAATAGGCTATAAATTAATAGTATATGCAATTTTTTTTATCAAGAATTTGAGATAAGCTAAAAAATTATGTATGCTGTTATATAAGGTACCCGTTAAAATTGTTTGATCTGAACAAAAAATAAATTGGTTCGAGAATTTTTCTTAATATTCTCCAATATTAATTGTAATTAAAGTTTCTTTTTCCGCACTGCGTATGGTGGAAGATGATAACGCTTACGTCACATTAACTGCACATGAACACATCTTATTTATCTCCACCACGGTAAAAAAGGATTACTGTTTATGTGATCAGTATAGAAATTCAGGAAAGTTAAATGGAGGGAAAACAGAAATAAAATCTTACAAGCTCTAGTTTATTTGATATTGATTTAGTTTTACGTAGGATACCCCAAAATTTCAACGTATTGCCTGAGTTTGCTTGTTTTGGTCGCCTTCACTCTCCCTATTATGTGACTGATTGCACAGCTAAGCCATAAGCGTGCATGTTTTATGAAACGGGTTACAACGTGTAGTCCATCTTGCATCTTCTGAGTGCTCGTTGCAGACGTCACCAAATCAGTGAAATAATTTGAAATAAATACCTCTGTCCTGTCACTCAGTTTTATTAGGCCAAGGTGTTTAAACACAATGTCATATTTACACACAGGATTATTCTCTGTTTTAAATATAATACTTCAATCTTTCGGTGCATTTCAGTTCTTTATAATGGATTATTTTATTGACACTTAAGTACTTTCATTTTATTATATTTTAAATCTTATCATTTAAGACAAATCATTTCTCCCTTTCATCGGCCTATATTACTGTCTGTGGCATTCAGACATAACGGCACAATTTGAAATTATACAAAAGTAGGGGCTTCTACGCCTTCCATTTTCATAATTTCCTAATAGGCACCTAATAATTTCATGCGAGGCAGAACCAGAAATACACACGAGGTCTTTTTCTTGAAAATACCTTATTCGGTGCCAGTTATTAATCACTTCGATATATGTGTAGTAGTTGGATAGAATTTGTGAGTTACAAGTCCTTTAGAAATAAAAGAACAGCGAATCGCGGGACTAGCAGATAGGGAAACGTATACTGTCCATATTATAAACATTATTCCTCAGCAGCCAGTTCCTATATTGGCAATATATTTGGTTTACGTAGTACATTCGTTTGTTTTCCTTCTATCTGCAATTAGTGATGTAGGTGAAACGCACAGTTTGAGTTCGAGTATAGAATTGACCTTCAGTTATCACCAGTAAAATAATCTAGTAAAACATTCTTCTTCCTTACGGGCACTTTCAGAGGTGATGGTTGGAAAAAAATATTATTTAATCTTTTTATGATAGGATATTATAAATATGTTTAATTTATTTTTATGAGACGAATCTGTCATGAAGACCCACTTGTTGAAGAAGCGATATCTTCTCTTATATTTGACGAATTCTAGATTCGCCCACTGATAATTCTTGTGTTTATACACAGTGGTCCCTTTGAAACGTGATCCTAACTACAGCAGTATTTGTAACGGTTGGTGTCATCAGTATAACAGTTGTGCGTTGTCTCATTCAGTATCTCCTAAATGCTCCAAATGCTTCACTAACAGTAAACGATTTCGATGCGAAATAATATTCGAGAATGAACACATGTTCTGCTCGTAACAAGAGTGATCTTGATTAGAGTATACCGAAAGAGACGGGGGGTGGGGGGGGGGAGATGGTATTACACGGAGTTGGACTTTTCAATTAATTTTTGTACCATAATAAGTGATTGTTATTGAAATAGAACATTCTATATGTTGTAGAAATTTTTCTCACAGGCATCCTTTCTTGTCTTTCGTGTTAAGGTTTGTTACCACACTGTAGCATGACGGTGTCATTAATTCCGCAGGGAACTGATTTTTTATACACACTTGCCAATCGTTAATTATTCTTAACACTGGTGTGATTTTCTTTTACAATTTGTTGTTCAGCTGTAATGGGTTTCCTTTCGGGATGGGACTGTATTTTAGTAATTAAATTTTTTGTAGATGTAGTTCTACGGAAAGTTATGAATGTGTTTTAATTCAGTGAGATGTCGAGTTGCCCAGTTCTGTAATTTGAGTATATCCTCCTGAATTTATTTTGTAAATTTGTCTATATCGGAATATGAATTAAAAAGAAACCTATCTTTATCGAGAAAAAAAATTGGTCCCGAGAATCTTGTATGAAAATTGATGTAAAATTACGTGTGAGGAAAGGAACCTGTTTAAAGCGGAATCGAAAAGTAAAAGGAAGGATTCAACGGGAAACATGGCAAAAAATGTTTCTCTCTTAATGTAATTTTGTCTTGTTTACTGTAATCTCGGAAATGTGTCTTAGAATGGATATTTCCTGTCAAAAATAGGAAATAATAGAAATCCGACCGTTCAGAAAAGTGTACTGGCACTACTGTAAAAAGGAAGGAAGAAGATAAAATAATTAAAGGAAAAAAAGTTGTCTACCGCTTACAAACGGCGACTTTCTGACGTGTGCTGTGGATCACAAACACACTTTCTAAATACAAAGAACTTGTACGAGACCTATTTATCTAGAATTTCTAGCGTTAAACGGAAATTTGCTCCAATAGAAGGAATAATGTTTAGATCCTTCGTGACTTCGTCACAGTCGTGAAAAGGTTTCATTTTATATCGATCCTTAAAAAAAACCTCTAATAAAATTAACAACCTACTTGAATATTATTTAAGACCAGAAAATAAATTTTAAGATAATTACGTCGTTATTGGAATCTCTGTGGCTATTGGATTTTGCTGGCCTAGGACAGGATCGATGGAGGGCTTTAGTTAATTCGGTAATGAATCATCTGGTCCCCTAAGCCATCTAGTTCGTTAGTTTAATCCCATCGTTTGATATTATTTAATTTTAAATATTGAAAACATCGTTAAATAAACTTTAAATAAAGAAGCACATTTTATTGTTCGACACTCCATAAAAACTTTAACTGATATAGGATCTGAAAGTAACTGAGAAACAAACAAAATGGAGTCTTAAACAACTCAGTTTGAGATCCCAAGCAGTGCAGTTTCCCTAGCCCTAATGTCATCACTAGCTGCTGATTTTATGTATGTTCCATAGGATGTACAGACTATACTGAAATTTCTTGCCGCATACGTGATAAACCCAGAGACGGGCATGCGTAAAATTACTCTTCAAATATGTAGGCCTAATTAAAACTCGATCCATAAGTGGAAGATCAAATATTTAGGGTTAGACATGTTATAAATTAGTGATCGACGTAAAACAGTCCCACGGACACATTGACTAGTAACGTTCTGTTTCGATCGAAGTAACCAGACCTTGCGGTGTATTTAAGTATCAGAGGGACCTGATTTCGAAGCTGAATGCCGGTCTAAGAATTATTCGGGGTTATTAATATGGGGAAATTTTGGAATAGTGTGATACTGGCTACTGCATTTATATAATGTTGAGGTTTATAACGCATGGAGTTTTCCTGCAGGCTTCCCTGTAAACCTTCATTATGTGGTGAGAAGATACTGAAGGAATTTTATTAGTAAAGTTTAAAGTTATTAGCAATAAAACGTCGCCTTTTATTATTACTGAATAAGAAGACGATCAGAACAAGGAAAGACACACCAATACAGCAAGTGGCAGATATTGGGGACTAACATATGTTTATGCGAAGGTTTGTGTGTCAAATACATATTTTGTATTTGCGGAAAGGGAACGGACAAATACATGAATGGAAAATATTGATTTGATGCGATGCCTGCAAGGTAACAGCGTGGTGTACACAAAATGTAGTACGCATTTCTCGCTCGGTTGTTCAGTTTTAATGTCATTACTGTCACAGTTCCGCATGACATGGGAATAATATATAGCAATATCTGGTGATTAAGTAAACAACCATGATAGACCTTTATTTTGATAGGCCACTCTTGCGCGATAGAGCATCACAAAGTAGACTAACATGAATGACTAGAAGTATTTGGAAGATGACTGGTTTATGGAATGTTACGCCGTGTAGATTGGTAGATTCTGGCAGACATTTCAGAGGAGTTTATTATCCTGATGATGGAGGTAGTAAGTTCCTCTGAAACGTTGGTCAGAATCCATCAATCTGCACGGTGCAACATTCCAGAAACCAGTCATCTTCACACTCGTCGATAATAGAACTTCCTATCATTTTCCGTTTCTGCTTTTACTGTTGGTTACTTGAGTTTTGGGATACTGACGGAGGATGTGAAGAGTACAGCATAAAATCATTTCTATTTTTACCTAACAAGGTTCATTGACGAGGAGATTACTATTTAGAACCAAGAGAGAGGTAACAGAAGTACGGAGAAAACTACATAATAATGAGATTCATAAGTTACTATCTCCTCAAAATATTGCTGGGGTAATGCAATCTGGACACTTGTCCAAGGAGTTCCACCAAATGTCTAAATAGATTAAGGAAGCTCTACCTGGGAGGACACCAAGGTCCGTAAATGGTTGTAGAGCCACAGATGACAACGACGAATACGATGATGATGACTATGATGATGCT